TCAATGTAATCTATAACCCTGAATTGAATATCTTGAGTATACTTAACATTATATTTATAATATTAATGTATCCTAACCTAACCTTAACGTTTCCGATACTAATGAATGAATATCGGCTTTTCCWTGTTTTAATGCTGTATACTTGCGTTTAATATTTTCTTTGGCTTTGATCAATTCTCCTAGTACATCACCACTGGCAGCAATGACTGTGAATGAAGCATTTCTACAATAACAACACTTTATATAACGACGAATGTGTCAAATCCATGACGATATCGACCGTTGTCGCGTTCACAGTCTTTGTTTATCACGATAAACTCAAATACTACATGATCAGATTATAACTTACAATCCGTTTAGCGGCGATGTTAGAAAATTGTAAACCTTGTAATTATTTTTAAATATCTTATAATTATTTTTATACCTTGTAAATATTACCTTAATTTCTAATAAAAAAAAAAAAAACTTGTTTTAAGTATCACGCTTGTTTTTATTTTACATACAAAAAAAAAAAATGATTTACAAAAAAAATTAAAATAGTCGCCGCTTAACCTTGCGCACTGGTGTTGGGTGTTCGGCGAATGTTGATGGTGGCGGCGTAATAAATAGAGATGATTCCCTGAATTGACTGAAATAATCTGGTCCATCGTTTACGTCAACCCCATCTGGTATCTGTGAGTCGTCAATATGATGCAGCGAGTGAAAAATTATATATTGTTTATCTCAAAGCAATGTTTATTAATTACCTTTGATTGATTAAGTTTAGGGTTCTCCGATGAATCCATGCTGGATATAAGAGAAAAGCTTGGTGACACCGGTAAATCAATTGATCTACTGTGTGACTAAAAATAATAAAATACATTAAATATTTTTACGAGTGAATAAGTTATAACGACTTACATCTGGTGAGTTTCCACCGCTCCAACGTTGCGCCCAATGTTCGGCTAATTGACTAGTGGCATTTATTTTGATCTGGCTTATGAAATTCATGTCTACTTCTTTAGGAGTGTATCCAATAATTTTATCATCGCTTAAATTTTTGATAAAAATTTTCATTTCTTCATTTGTTTTCGGCGACGATTTCACATTGGTAAATTCCTGGTCTAAGTAATTACCAATAGCCTCGAACTGCTTTAAGACGACTGGTCGTATGATGGTTGACTTTCGAACGACTGTTTCGATAATACTCCATTCTAAATATTGCAATTTCATTAAATCTGAACGATTTAGCAATACTCGGCATCCGGCTTGTGTTTTTGATTCGATGACCAGCACATTTTCTTCTTGGTAAACCATACTCGATAGTGAAATACTTTCTGTTTCCAAAAACAGATTTCGCTTATATTTTTGAGGTAGCTCGAGTATAAAAGATAAAATATTCCCCATGAGTGAAAATATTCGTCTTAGAAAGTCGGCTGGCATATTAATATACCGCGATGGTGTTATTATTTGGACTATGGCATTGAATTCGTCGGTAGGATCAAGTCCTACATTCAAAAACTTACGGCCGGTGAAGTCAAGTATAAAATTGCTGCAGTCAATCAGATTAGCGGGTGGTGCTGGAGGTACATATGTAAAATTTTTCTTCTTCCAAATATCAGCCATATTTGCGACTGGTCCAKCCATACTTATTTTAARCACCGAAAAATAATTTTAAACACTGAAAACGATACGAACGTACGAACACTCGGGTGGATGCAGAGCGACTGAATTCATTTTATGGTATTAAACGTGAACATTGAATATTATTTGGTGGGGGAAACATCTTCCTGTCATTGCAGGTGTATTGCATGTCCGTTAACGTATACAATTGTCTGATTATAGAAGGACGAGTCACGCTCTCGATAATCCTTTGAAAAAAGCCGCCTCCATTTTTCGAGAGACATAAAATATATTTTATATTATTGCGTATTACACTAAACTTATGTTATATTTGATACTATACATAATATTTAATTAAAATAAATA